TCTCTCTCTTTTTTTTTTTTTATCGTATCGACAGTTATCCATCCCCCTTCCTCCCCCCCCAAACCCTCGCGCCTCGACACGCACGCAACATCTTGCTCGAGAGATGATCGCGAGCAAGATGTTACCGTTGTTCCGTTGTCGAAGATATATGTATAATAGGTCGCTCGTGAATTTCTTCAAGGTCCCCCGTCGACAGCCGGCGATGCTCGCGACGCGTTATATTTCCGAGCAGCCGCGAACTCCTCGGGAATAACAGTCGTACGTGTTGTGTACGTGTGTGGGGCGTGTGTGCGGGCCTACCAGAAGTTTGGAAATGTTCGCTCCCACACTTCCACACGACGCCGACGATGGGAAGTCACGCGAGCGTAGGTCAGATTTTGTTTACGAAGTTGCGACAATTCCGACGACAAGCCGGTGAGGGGGAGGGGGGACGGGCGCGTTGGCGAAGTTCGCGAAGTTCGAGGGTCGGGGGTTTAAAAGCAATAGCGCGACGTACGCGACGCATATTACGAAACTTCGAGGTTGCCGCTCAGATATACCGCGTGCATATCAGGTTTGCGCTAATTACTCTTATCGCGAAGCCACGGTTTCCGCTCTCGGTTCGCCTCGTCCGAAGCCTCGATTTCCTCATCGTTGAGGACTCGCCGTCGGTTAGTCCGCCTGGTGCTCTCGCGGCTAAAGAGCACCGCAAGGTCGCCGAAAGTTTCCGCGGCAGGAGGAGCACCGTAATTTAATTGTAATAATTCTCGATCTCGCCTGGCATCGTTTTGATCGTGGCCGTTCTCGGCCCGGCCTCGGTTCGCCGGAGAGGAACGAGGCTCGAGTCGTGCGTACGACGCGGCGTATCCGTTCTCGCGTGGGTCGAGTTTCGTTTCATTACGGTTCGCATAACCGCCCGCCATAGTTAAAGCTGACACGCGGCTGAGTCACGCGGCGAACCCACAGACTGTAGATGTGAATACGGGAAAGACAGCGCGAGCCCATCCATCTGGAATGAAAAGACTCGGACTCTCTCCGAAACCCGCTCGACGGATTATCCCGCGAGAGGGATAAGAGAGATAAAATAGAACGGACCGAAGTGAGAACGTAACGTCAAAAGCGTCTGTGAGTCTGTGAGTGAGCCGCGGATTCGATCAAAGTTTTCCCCGGGAAACCGTCGCTCGTCCTCGCCACGCTGAAACGCGTGTGTCAATCCCATCTCTCATTCGTTTATTTTTGTTCTCCAGGAGGAAAGCTTGGACTTAATGGGGCAATATAAACCTGAAATATTCTGCTAGAAGGTAATTTCGCTTTGTCGTTTATTGTTTTGCTTGCCTATGGTTGATCGTTGTTGGGTAACTGCATGCTGGCATGCCCCGAATCACCTCACACAGAGAGACACAGACGCACGCACACATACCGCGCGATCATTTCATGACACACCGATGTGATTCGGCAAGGACGGGAGATTACACCCGCTGGGTTGTACCGCTACGAGGTTATTTCACGTTTTTCCCCGCCGGTATAACCGGAAAGAGAACGTAAAAGTAGTAGAAGTAGCCCGCGGTCAAGTTGAATTCCAGAGAGAAGCGGAAGAAAAAGGAACAAGTTTGCGAAGCTCAACTCGGGACGGCCGGGGAAATGTCTTATTACCGCTCGTAGAAATTGTTACGTTTCCTCGTGTCATGCTAGCTAACGACACTGACGAGCAGCGTATATATAATTTTTTTTTTTTTAACAGTAAACGTATGCATAGACGCGGACGCTTCGTCGTCCGGTCTATCCGGCCAGGATCCCTCGTCTTCTTTCTCGAAGAGCATATTCGTGTTGCGCGTTCCAATTCGTTTTCCAGGACGGCGTAAAGGCGCATTGCGAGTTTCAACGAGTCGCAGATACGCAGAATCGCCGTCGCGGAAACGTCACGTCACGTTCCCCGCGACCGCGGGGACTTTCGTCGGAACAAACACGACCATACATCGTCACTCCGTCGCTTTGTACTCCCGCGTCTCCGCCGTGGTCGAAAAAAATCCAATCTAATGAAGACGATCATTCTTTGATTGACCGATTCGTCGACGACGCCTCGCCGCCCGCCCGTCGATTTTCGTCACGACGTTCGTCGTGAGACGTTCCGCCGCCGGAAGTGATCGTCCGCGAAGGGATCGTTTCGCGATATTTCGAGAAAGAAACTCTCAAAAGCTCGATATCCCTCGTCGACGCGTTGCTTATACACGCCTCACTTACTTAAAGTCTATAATGTTACAATACATCCCAGTGAACGCCGAGAAAGGTAATTAATCATGAGCGTCGACTCGCCGGAGCGCGACGTTCTATTTATATGTCAATTGCCACTCGTTGCGTGTACTCGATGCATGCATGCATGCATGCACGCATGCACACACGCACGCACGTACGCACGCACGTACGCACGCACGCACGCACGCACGCACGCACGCACGCACGCACGCACGCACGCTACGCACGCACGCACGCACGCACGCACGCACGCACGCGCGCGCGCGCGCGCGCGTCGCTCACTCACGCAATGGAAATCGGACGCGCGGTCACCAGCCTCTCTATCGCTCCGCGAGTTCCACGCAGTCGAATCGTCGCCGTGTGTGGTTTCTTGTCGCGCGAGGGACCGTAGGAAAAGTGAAGAACGGAGGGTGAAGGAAAATATGCGTCGAAAATATGCGCTCTCGATTTCTTTCCGCCTAGACAAAGAGAGCCTAATTAACGAGATTAATTCTCACGCGCGCGGTGATTCCATAAAAGACCCGAGGCAGACAAAAGGAGAGGGGGGAGGGAGGGAGGGAGGAGAGAGATAGAGGCACGGGGAGAGAAATAATAAAGTGCCCGCGGCGGATTTTCAGCGGGACGCAGGCGGACGTCGTAGACAGTGTCGTAACGACGACGAGCAAAGTCGGCTGTGCGTAATAACGTCGCGCTTATCGCCGGTCAAATTAATTAACCGCTCGCTTAATATCCCACGAAAATCGATACGCGGACGCGTATGTTTGCACTCTTGCGTAATCGCCAATGCGAAACGCCGCGGCGCGGCGACAGTTGGGCCCAAGAAACGCGGCACGTTCTCGATCTCTCCGTTTAATTGAGGTTGTATGCGTCATACATGAATTATTAATTGTTTTTGCTCCTGGCGGTTGATTTGAAAGAATATTCATAATGAAGTGAAATAAATTTTTGTCATAAATATTAATTATCATAAATATTAAATATTAATTATCCATAAATATTAATTATACATCTCTTCTTTCACGAAAACTTTGAAAGCCTTTAATTAAAGAAAAAAATACTAAAGTATTATATTATATTATTTTGTAATTTAATCGCTGTAT